TTTAAGTTTTAAAATTATTCTCCATGCCTGTGAACAAAGTTGACACTCCATGAATTTTCAGAGGCAATCTGGTTCCTTTCGTGACTGCTGTAACCTATTTTTTTTTTTTAAGTTAACCGCAGCCTCTGAGTTAAATTGCCACCTGCTTGAAGAATACTAACACTAGGCCATTTCTGATCACCACGAAGTGAACTCTTTGTTTCTGCATCCATGGGGACAAGTGGCAGGGGGTGTTCTCACTGCTTCTGTCCAGCCTCTAGGGGTTTCCAAAAAGGCTGTCTCTGGTCAGTGGTCTCCCCCGGGCCCTCAAAAGCTAGGTCTGCAGTTGCAAACAACGGACTCTGTTGCTGTCCCTACCATCCTCAGTGTCTTCCTGCTCTGTGTCACACTGTGTCTGTCTACTTTGCAGAAACAAACTTGCCCAGCCTGAACCAGGACGGAGAACACTTTCCCTGGGAAAATAACAAGTTTTACAAAGCCCACCTCGCCAGCGTGTACGTTCCTCGGCCTGTGGGCAGACACCACCAGCACTTCTGATAGAAATGGCCACCGCTGCCCAGGGATCGAGATGCCTCAGGACCGCACTGGGTGTCTCATAAGCATGTTGCCCATCTCATCCCTCATCAGCCCTAGAGACAAGTACTCCCGACGGCCGCCTGTCAGAGCTGGGGGCTCAGGGAATCAGGAGTAGCAGCCAGTGAGGAACAGAACTGGGATTCTGAGTCCAGAGAGCTCACCCACTTCCCACAGCCGCTCTCCCAAATCCTCACGAGTTCCTAACCAGTCACCCACTCACTGTCCCCACAGGTGGGGCCATGTTCTAGCCCTCCAGCGAGAGCGAGGAAAGAGGACACAGGGAACCGCAGACAGCATCCCTGCTCGCCCCTCCTCTCTGGGTCCCAGCTCAGGGCCTGGCACACAGGGTGCCCTGCACAAGTCTCTCAGAGGAATTTTAGCTAAAGCCCATTTCAGAATTCCCAGGAAGTCAGGTAGGAATTGTAAAAGGGAGGCAACTTGCCTACCTCCTGTCCTGGGGTGTTTTTTGTGTGATCTAAGGAGTCCCCAATAATTTGTACTCCAGCAGAAGGATCTCAAAGTGTGGTCCCTAGACCATCAG